CGACGCTTTCTTTCCCCTTAACTTCACAAGCTCATCATTGGTTTAGCCTGGAATGTTTTTTTGCTACGCATGTATGTGTATGCATGTGTCTGTGTTCTCAGTTACACCACCTTTACTTTCTATAAACCAGGCTTCAAGGTCCCAGCTCTCGTCTCATGCTCTCTTTTCAGAAACCTCCCATTCCTTTTTCTGCCTCCCATTTTGGCGAGTAAGCCTGCAAACCTGAGCAGGTGTGGCAACCCCCATCTCTCTGATTTTACCCATTTTGAAAGATCTGGTACTATACTCTCCTTGTCTTGTTTGCTTCATATCCTTTACCCACATCACTTGCTTCGTACCCTTTTCCAGGGGAGTCAGCAAAACCTGCACTTGACTTTTTCCTTCAAGATGCATTTGTTTCTCCTTTCCCTGTTGTATCTGCCTGATTTTTCATTAACTGCTGAATAAAGTTGCACGCTGTTTAGGGCAAGGGCTGTGCCTTTACTTACCATGGACCTTCAGCATGTTCTGAGAAGGCTGGAGCCTGCCATTGTGATCTCCTCTGGCCCCTGCAGGGCACAAGCCAAGAGAGAAGAGTTCTTCAGACTTGTGGAAATGCTCTTCCCTTTACCAAATCTGGGTGCTTTTGAGAGTGTCAGCAGCATTTGTTTGCTAAGAAATACTCCCAGCTCTTTCAGCCACTCTCGTGGGGCTGGTCCAGTTCCAACCAGCTCAACTGAAGGCGCAAGCTCCGGGGTGACTGGATTCAGCCTCTTATCTCCATGGAGACAGAAACCACACAACAAGAGCAGCAACAAACAGTCAGGGGAAAGAAAACACCTGGTAAGAACACATTTTTCTCCTCTTAAACCCTGCTCATCATTGTGTTTCCACTGGATGGCCTAAACCTGTTAGTCCTTTGCCTTCTCCTCCAGTATTTCCAAATGTTTTTGGCAGGATCCAACATAGCAACAGCGGTAGGGCAGTGCATAGGACAGAGGTAGTGTCCCTCCCAGGAGTCACTGCTGTGCAGTTCTGCAACTGCCTGTGCTTCACAGGTGTTAATTTATTTTGGCTGTACATTATTTTTTGTCCTTCCTTTAAGGTGGCTCCTTCCCACATCCTATCTTCACCTCCAGTCGAAGCCCAGGAATCCACAAAACATGACTATCAGCATGGTGTTTCACATCCTGTGTAGTTTCAGGTCTGTGTCCAAATGAAAAACGAGTAGATCAGTTTTAATCTATTTTTTTCGTATATCAGGGTAGTGTGCTGTATGATAATTATTTTGGTGCCACTGTATAATATAAGTATTTCCCTTATTTTTACATTTACAGACTTTTAAAACTACATGCCTAAAATAATGCAGCTAATCAGTGTCAAAACTCAAATGATGCACCATTTCTCCAGGCACCAGGTCTTTGTATCAGAGGGCATTCATTAATTATTAGCATTGTATAGATCTTTTATTCATAAATTGCTAAGTAGGGGATAAAGTTATTCAGTTTAAAATCCTATAAATCAACTAGAAGTTTGATGTAACCTTCCATGTTGTACTTGGCAGAGGAAAAGGATTGTTTAAGGAACAATTTACAGCTTTATTACTTACAAGCTTTTTACCTAAGCATAATAGTACTTCTTGTAGCTACAACAGCAGCGCTTTGAGGAGGAATAATTAGCAAAGCTAGTAATCAGCAAATGAATAGGCTTGTGTAAATACTAAGCCTACATTCTTTGCTTCTGCATTGAGTCTGGCATCCTTCTCCTCAGCCTGCCTGACTCTGAAGGAGGGCGAAGCAGGTGGAGGGCTGCAGGCTGCCCTTGGTTTCGGTAGGTCCTCTCCCCCAGCACTGGTTTCTCTGGACTTCCAGAGACACTTCACCAGATTCACGCAGTGTTGTTGGCCATGCAACTGTCGGATACCATTTAAATATACTGAATGTCATTATGGAAGCGGTCACTAAAAAAATTTTGTCTCATCTTTGTGTGAGACAGGGGCTCCATGGCTCAGGAGGAAAGAGAGGCAGGGATGGCCAACCCCACAAGTGATCCAGAGATGGGCAAAGACATGGAAGATCTGAGAAAAGGCTTGGAGGAAATCTGTGAGACCCCTGATGAGGAGAAGACTGAGGAGGCTCTGCTACGTTCACGCCTAGAACAACAGCATCACCTTATCTGTACGTTAAAGAAGAAAGCAGATGATGCACGCAAATGCTGCAAAAGCCTGGAGCAGCTCAACATGGAGCTGGAGAAAATGAGGGCAGAGGATGCTGTGAAAATACAAACCCAGACCCAACGCATCCAGCTTTTGGAGAAGCGCTTCACGGATCTGGCTGACAACCATGAAAAAATGATCCAGTTCAAGGATGAACACAAGAAACGGTATATGCAGCTGTGGGAGGAGAATAAGCGCCTGCGGCAGGAGAATGAAGCACTCTCCAACCAGTCTGTGAGGGAGAAGGAAGCTGAAGTGCTCCAGCTCACTGCCCAGGCCAGAAGTCTCTCACGGCAGTTAGACTCCTTACAGGAAAAATGTGCTTATGAAAGCTGCAAAGCCCAGAAGCGAGAAAAGGAGCTGCTAGAAGCCCAGAAGGAGCAAGCAAGTGCCTATGCCTGGGAAGTCGATTCACTAAAAACCCAGCTGCACTGTCTACAGGAGAAGCACCAGCAAATGGTGGCACAGGTGGAACATGCAGAAAGTCAGCACAGGGCTCAGGGCAGCGAGCTGCAGGCCAAGCTGCAAAGGCTGAGTGAGGAGAAAGAGGAACTTCGGAACCTGGCCATGGAGAGGGGCAAAGCTGTGCAAGATAAGCAATGGGAAATTGAGCAGCTAGGGAAGAAGCTGGAGACTGCAGGAAAAGCCAGGCGGAGGGCAGGAAAGCGGCTTGTGAAAGAGGCAGCGGCGGTGGACAAAGATCTGAAGGTCCAAGAGCTCCAACGACAGCTGGAAAGCAGCAAGCAGGCATACAACGAACTCTCGCTGCAGTTTGATGCTTACAGAAAGCACAGTATGGATTTACTGACTAAAGAAAAAGCGCTGAATGACAAACTCCGTCATTTTACTGCATGAGTGCAGCTTTCTCCTCTGTCCTCAGCAAGTGCCTCTCTTGTAACATACCATTGCATTTTGTTCCTTTCCATGAGACCGTCATCTTCTGCTTTCTCTGTAATGTACTTACCAGCTTAAATCCTCCTGAAAGGACTGTTGTGTAGCATTTTTTTTTGTTATACCTTTATGTAAGATCTCTACACTCTTACATCTGAACAGGGACTGCTGAACTAGTCAAACCTGTGACATGAAAGATTAGGGTGGAAAATGTAAACGACAAACTTGATTTATTTGTTCCTAACCTCTTCTGTATCAAAGATTTTCATTTTTTACAGTTAAAAGCACATTATTTTCTAAGATGGACCAAAGCTCAAACCCTTAATCTTTTGTATTTGATTCTCCCTTGAAGTTCAACAGAGGTTGGGCAGGTAAGAGGCTCCAAGAAAGAAATCCCACCTTGTAATGTCTACGTCACGAACAGTCATCATTCAGCAACTCAACAGGTCAAAACAGTAATATCATATAATAGCTGATGCTCAACCAGATGCTCATATGTAGTTGTCTAGTAGTCTGATGGGTTTCTAAAGTTATCTTAGTCTTATTTACTGTTATAGCATTATTTATATCCCTGTTCAGCTCAAAATAAATTGACAGGTCTTTGGGGGATTTGGTCGAGGTTCTAGATGTTCCACCAGTTTAAGTGTTTTCTGGTTTTTAGGTGTTTTGTGTAGAGAAAATAGTAGTCATGCACAAAATGGAAGGGCGTATGTCCGGCAATTTTTGACAAAAATGTTTCCCTTTCTTGTCAGCACTGTTGGATACAGAAGCATCCCACACTCTCTCCCCAGCTAAGGAGGAGGGTTTTGGCTGCTGAGCTTCAGCTCCTGCTCTTCAACACAAAAACACATGATGGGCCAAATGGCATCCTCCACCTGGGCTGTAGGTAGCTGCCTTGAGAGCTCTACAAGTTCTTTCCTATATGTGTATACTGTGGGGTAACTCAATGTTTTAGCTAGCTGGTTGGGTAGCTCTTGGTCCTGAGCATCTACAAAGCAGTGGCACCCTCTCAAACTTGGTATCTGTTCAGCCATGCATTCAAAAGTGTACAGAAATCACCAGAAGATCCTCCAGCTTGCAACCAGTTCATCTCAAGGACTTATGGAACCAGATGTGACTTCTGAGTAAGTATAGACTTGTCTTCTGAACTTCTCTAGCCTCTCCTTAAACCCCTACAAAGCCAGGTGCGAAGCACTGCTCCACAAGCTGCTGCACGACAAAACCACAGCCTTGCCTTAGATCCTGGCTCCTGCACGTGTCATTCCACACCAGTTTGATGGACCACATCCTCCTACTTTTCATCTGTCTTTTTCCCCCTGATGTGCCCACCCCACATGCACGGTAATTAATCTATATGCAGGCATCTGCAGAGTAAATGCCAACTAGCCCAGGCTACAGACTAGGTCTGAGAGGAAGGAACAGGGTAGGACACAGTCAGCTGCTCTGTTTTAATCAGTCGAAATGCAGCCAGGAGTGCTCCTTTCCTCCTCAGTGACGCCAGGAGAGCCTAAAACCAGGTACCTGGGCTAGGGACACCCCCTCACTGTGTGACAGCACAGCCCCACACCCCTCTGGCCCAGCCCCTGCCTCAGTCCGGCAGGAAAGCCCCCAAAACACCCCCCCTCCCCTGCGGGGAGACATCGGCCGCATCTGCGGGTGGGAGACCTCCCTC